CCAGGGTTGTCACGAGGATCAAATGAAACAGTTGTGAAGCACTTAGCATGGGGCCTGAAACATGTTCAGCCATTTCAATTGTGTCCCTCTCTTCATGACCCCATTTGGAGTTTCTTGGTAGAGATACGTGAGGGATTTGCCATCTCCTTCTCCAGCTAATTTTACAGATGAGGAAGTGACTTGCCCAGGATCACATAACTAGTAAATATCTGAGGCCAAATTTGGACTTAGGCCCTCCTAACAGGCCGGGAGCTCTATCCACCGCACCACATCGCTTCCAGCTTGGAACATAGTAGGTGCAATATAAATGCATTATTGTCGTTGTTATTGTTGTCACTATTATTAGGCAAGAGGCCCACAGGGAGAACTGGAGAACTCATCAGCATCCCTAGTTACTGCCCTAAGTAAATAGTTGCATTTGGGCCTGCCCCAAATGTCTGCTCAGATCAAAGCTGGCTTGAAGGCTGCAGGTTCACAGACTAAAAGGCCGTAGTAAAGTGGGTGGATGTCACCCTGCTCCTTGGAGGCAGCTTAGCTAGAGAACACTTTACCTGGAGTCATGAGACCTCAGCTTGAATCCCAGCTCTACTTCTTCATAGCTATGTGCCCTCAGGCAAGTCCTTTAACATGTCTCGTTTGATTAAATCCCTTTGGAAACCATAACGTGCTATATATGTGCAGGCTATTATTGTTAACAACAATAGTCATCATCATCATTCAGAGCCTCAGTTTCCTCATCTATAAAATGAGGGGTTTGGCCTGGAGAGCCTCTAAGGTCACTTTCAGCTCTAAACCTGAGCCTAAATCACTTTACCTCTCTGGGTCTCTGCTGCCTCATCTAGAAAACAAGAAGGTTGGAGTGAGCAGTCCCCTTCTAGTCCCAAACCTAGCACGATCCTCTGGTGCCGTAGAAGCTCTAAGGAGCGCTCCAGGCGTGAGCTCTGATGCCTGTCCCAGGCACTCCTAACAGAGGGCAGGGGCCTGGCCCAAGGAACAGTGTGTTTCTGGGCTAACTGGCCTTCCAGGAGCTCTCCAAAGCCCTGCCAGAGAAACTGATGCCATCTTGGATCCCTCTCTTTCTCCTTTCTGTTACAGACCTGCCCCTCAGCGTCCGCCACAAGTGCCCAGACCCTCCTACGCTGCCTGCATGAAATGAGCAGAAAACGGGCCCCTTGGTTCAACAGTGAAGACAGAAGTTTGCACTATCTTTAAGCTCCAGTCGGAGTGCCTTTTTTCGTATCAATCCTTCGAATGTTTAATGTGGAAAACACCATTGTTTCTAAGAACTTTGAGCTCCTGCCTTCAGTACTGTGCTGTGCTATGGTGCTCTGGGGACTTGCTCAGGTACTTTTAAATTATTAATTTATGATGAATATTTATTACGGTGCGGTGCACTGTAGTAGATATTTTTTTTTACCATCTCTTAAGTTTTCCTTGGAAGGAAATCTTCTCGTTGTTTTTAATATTTCAGTGAACTTGAAACATTCCGCTTTGTGGGATTCTAGGCCAAGGGTTAGCTTTCTTGATCTCTGCTTTACTGCAGGAATGGCACAAATGGAAAAGCAGCCAGCTTCTCATTAGGATCAGCCCAACTTGTATGGCCTTCCCAAGTGTGAGCCTTTCATTAAGCAGGGGAGGCCAGAGCTCTGTCTCTAGCCAAATGAACAGCAGGTGTCTCAAGTCAGCACATTTCTCTTTGAGCATCCCTTCTACACTTAGCTCGCGGGGTAGCATCAGCCTCCGCTGATGCTGGTGAGGGGCATATTGGAAGCTCTACTCTAAACCAGCTGTTTTGCCTCCAGTGGCATAGGCAGAGAAGGATGCGGTTTCATACCAGGAATAATTAAACATTGTAAATAACCCCAGCCTCGGGTGGGGAGGGAGGTGGGACAACACTTGAGGAAGGAAAGGGGCAGAAGTGACCACCCGGGAGATAACTGAGGGAGTCCTGTGTCCTGAAATAGAAGCGCAGCTTCTGAAGCTTCCTGGACTGGCTGGTCACGAGCCCAGCCTCAAACAAAGCAGCAGATCCATTGTTTGGCCACTAGACTTGTCTGTACCAAGTCACTCCTTGATGCTCCTAGTTTTGGACACATGTGAGAGCTGGGGTTCACATGTTGTTTGGACTGAGAAAGGTAGCGTGTCTACAAGTGACAGTAGTTTGGGCAAGACTGTTGCTGACCAGGTACTGTAAATAGTCTTCTGTTGCCAGGGGGCTAACCAGATCACCTCATTGTTTACTCAACTGTAATGTAGTCATTCTGGATCCATGTGGATGGACCAGCCTTTCCCTGGGCCCAGAATTATTTTCAGATGTGAACTAATAACTAGAGATATCCAATCAATACTCTAGGGAAATTCCTTTTTTACTGCAGTGTTCAGGCTTACTAAAAACTGGTTCATTATGATGCGGGCATCGGTGCTAAGACAATGGAGTCACGTATCCATTAGTATCTCCTTGCTTATCACTAGCGTTTGAGATACATTGTATCTATCACTTATCACGTTTCTTTATACAACATTACCCTGGGTTTTCTTTGGTGCCATTTCCATCTCCCAGACTCGACAGGAGGAATCTTGAAGGTTCTAGCACACACAGGTTTTTAAACAGCTCTCTGCATCTTCCTGCCTGCTGAGCATCATAGGATGGGAGAAAGAAATCAATTTCCTCGCCCTAACTAGGCATAAAACCCAGGCCTGGCCAGTTACCCCTCAAACCCTTCACTTTCCAACCCACATGTAGAGAGCCATCTTCCCAGGGAGAACTTTAAAAAGCTCCTACTTGGTTCCATGGAGCCCACAAGAAAGACATCTTTGTTGAGGCCCCATTGTGCCCTCCAGTGCCCCCCAGTGGCGCCATCTGCGACTGCAGTTTTCACCATTCCTGCAACTGACCAGAGTTTCATAATTCGTTTTAAGAGCTTTGAGATAAAGACTTTTCCCTCTCATTTCAAAGGTTTTTCTGGGCCGTGAAGCAGGAAAATAAAATGCCTAAGGGCTATTTCTGGGTTTTTCTCTCCAGAAGATAAGAGTTGTATCTACCTTTCCTCATGCTCACCACAGCATCTAGGCAACAGTGCATTCATGTTTATGGATAAACCAGACGCCCATCACCCACACTCACTGAAGCAGTTTGAGGATCCCCCTCCAGTCCATCTCAGCTCTTCAGGAGTGCCTGGGTTCATAACACAATGACCAGATTCTTTCTGCTCATTCTGAAGACATGTTGGAAAATGTTATTGATGTGGTATTTATAGTAAACTTGGGGAATCGCTTTAGTTGTTCTCTGCATTTGTATTAGGTTTGGTAATTGTGCTGAAACCAAAGCAGGTGCTATTGAAAATGTTTACCAACTATTTGGGGTGCATTTTGGGTGTTCTTTTGTGGAGTGATATTAATGCCTTAGGTCTGGCCGCTCCTACTGCCAGCAAGAGGATGCCCACTCAAAACGATCTCCTTCTAGCTGTACTGTCTGGGATTGTAGTTATTCAATTTATGCAAATAACTTTTAAAGAATATTAAAGCTGTGATCTTAACTTCCCATGATTAATAGCCATTTGGGGCTGCCAATGACATCCACATTTACATATTTCTGGTGACTGATATGAGCCACTGCAATGAGGTCCATTTTTAAAACACCCATAAATGGAAAGCTTCCCTATGGGGAAGCAGGCATTCTTATGAAAGGAGCACTGCCAGAAGTACTGTATCTATCCAAGTAAGGCATTTTATGGGGACCTTTCATTTCAATATGATTTATTGCCAATTCCCATGTCAGGGTATGGTGTAGAGTATTGGAGGAGAGGGGCAGGCAGAGGGGAAGATCCTTCTTGAGCTTCACTGATGACATAAGCAGAGTTCAAAACAGCAACCAGATTGTGTCTGAAGTGGTTGGATTATTATTATTATTAATTTACTGTGGCAGGAGCAAAAACCAGCTGCCATACCATTATCCTAGGATCTTATTTGTAAACTTTTTCAGGGGGATCACCAAATAATTCTGAGTTGTAGTTCAGAAGCGAAAAACTTCTCTGTTCTAACTAATGAGGTCTCAGTCTCTCATAGTGGGAGGTCTGCAGCTCATTTTTCAAGCACTTAATTTAGAATTTACCATTAAAGTTTTTTTTTAATCCATTTGTTTTCCTGACATATGGAATCAAGCCTGATGTATCCATTGTCAAAACATGTCAGCGGGGGAGGCTCTGCTACCCAGTCTGAATCTCTTCAGCTCACACATGTGCAGTGACATCACACCAACCACAAAAGCAACAAATTTAAACTACAAGAGAATAGCAGCTCAGACAATTCTCAGAGGGGACATTTTTATGCCTCCTTAACTTTATTAGGAATTCTCGGACTAAAACTACAGACCATTGTTCTAGAAAACTGGCAACCTTTCCCACCCTCTCTATGCTGGACAGTGTCAATGAACAGTTCCAAACGTGGCATCCCCATGAAGGCAAGGCCTGATTCTGGGATGCCCTGAATACCTGGTTTGCAAACTCAACTTTCAGTGAATGTTGCCCCAGCCATTTGAAGTGATGGCCACTTCCAGAAAATAGAAAGGAAAGAGCCACTGGCTAGCCAGTCTGGGTCTTTCAAACACAATTCAATCCTTTTTTAAATCTTTCCACTTTTTATTTATAACTTATCTTATTTTCTAGGGCCTCATATAGGGCCAGCCCTGGGCAAAATTGTGAAGTGTCTCCCACTTCCCCTTTTTAAAAGGGTCTGATTTCCTATCTTTACCCAGCTTTGCACCCTTCTTTCTGGGGCCTCCAAGGCCTTCATCACTTATACCAAAACTTACTGACCTTATATCAATGTTCAGGGCCCTTGACCTCTGATTAGTCATTCATAATAATAATAATGATGATGACCACCTACATATATATATATATATATGGCACTATGTGCCAGGCACTATGATAAGTGCTTTATAATTATCTGATTTGATCTTCACAATAACCCTGGGAGGGAGGTGCTATTATTATCTCCATTGTACAGATGAGGAAACTAAGGTTGTGATTTGTGCAGGGTCACAAAACTAGTAAGTACCTGAGGTTGGATTTTAACTCGGGAGGTTAGGGTTGCTCCATCCACTACTCTGCCTTGCCATTCCTAGATTGACATCATCATACTAGCAAACACATGGGGGATCAATGAGGGCTTTGGTGTTCATCACCTCCATCCAGAGGAGTGGCATTCTGGTGGCAATTCCAGGCACTGTGACAATTCTATGGACCAGCCAGCTGCCTGCCCTCCTGCCATGACTAGCTAAGTCCTCTTCTGACAGGGCCTCATTCACCCATGAAGGGCAACCACTGAATAAAACTTCACACAAAGTTGCTGCTGAAACTCAGCTGCTCATCTTGTCCTGCCCCAGCCTTGAAAACCTAGTTCTGATTCTTCCACGTATCTCATATAGTTGGAGAGCTCCTCTCAAACTGAATGGATCAGCCAAACTGGTGATCCCCGCAGGCTGCCATCATTTCACAGATAATCTCAATTCCCTGGCTTTGCTGGCTCTTCCCTCTGGATGATTTATCTGCTAGACCCATTCATACAGTTCCAAAAGCATAGAATTTTCCATGGCCTTTGGCAAATATGCGACATTATTGAACTGTTCAACAAAGGCTCTGCCTTGAAGGAAATCAGAGCCCACCAGGGGGCTCAGTGAAGGCTGCCTGCATTTCCAGAGGGTCCTTGGAAAAAACTCGAGAGCATTCTTTGTCCAGGAGAGCCAAACACTGAAATCCCTGATTTTCCCAACCTCTGCACTCTTCATGCATCTGCTTCAAAGTTCAATGTTGTTTTACAATGAGATTAGACATCAGTGTTAATAATGATGAAGGCCACGGTCTGAGAAAGATGTGAAAATCTGTTTCCTCCATACTGTTCCTTGTCATTCTGAGATGTTTCCATGGAGTCTGTTTGCCTGCAGAGAGAGGTCTTCAGACCCCTTCCTAAATTGTTCTTAAGACAGTCATTTGACTTTGTTCCTATTATTTGAAAGTTCAATTTCACCAAATTTACGCAAGATGAAGTGTTCCTTTCTATATTTTGGGAAGAGCAATAGCAGGAGATGTTTCTCAGCTCCTAAGGGTTTCTTTCCTATCTATCTGCACTTAGTATCTTTGGCTGGAAACATACCCACAGGGACAATATCTACTGAGAGTCAGAGGGTGTCAGACCTGCAGTATGAGAACAGACCCATTACCCAGCAGTGGGGAACACAACAAATCAATCCCTCAGGCTGACTTGGGATGCCTTGTAAACAGCTCCCTGTCCCACATTGCCATAAACAACTCTTGTTAACAGAATTTCTCCAGGGCCTCCTTCTTCCAAAGTCCACAATTCCTCCCAGGTCTAACTAAGCCAGGGCAGAACCACAAATGGGCAGGCGATGATTATTTTTTTACGAAGTGAAGAGTATGAGTGCTGCTGGCTGAGGGTAATGATGTCATTGGCAGTCCCAGGAAGGCTTCCATAGAAAGCACTTTAAGGCTCTGAGATAACATAGATGATGACAAAGGCAGGACTAAGGCAAGAGTTCCGGACTTTCTGTTGGATGGGCTGGCTGTGGAAGGGAAAGGAGGGGGGGGGTGGACAAATATTCTATTGTTATCAAATGTGCAGCAACTGCCAAGTGTCATGTCTGAAATGGTCAGTGCCGGTGCTGGTGCTGGTGCCGGTCTCCGGTCAGTCCAGGGAAGGGGCCGGCCACCTCCCCCAGCACGTTCCTGCTAGCATGCTGCATCCATTTACAAAGCTTTTATTCACTAGACTTCTTCACAAACTTTCTTATGTTACAGTTGGTGTTACTTTTGTACACATTCCTTGTATTAAGGTGCTACAGGTGAATACAACCTGGTGTTTCAATAGAAAAGCCGTCGTTGTTAAGAATACTATATCCAATAAACCGTGAACATGTAGGTACAGTTTGTCTCTGTCCTTGCTGAGGATGTCCCCGAGATATTGGGGTGGGGTGGGGAGAGAGAGCAAATTAAAGACAGATGTCCAGCACGCGATCCACTGGGCCCTGGTGAGAAGGAACCAATCCAAACCAACCTACTCAGCAACTGTGAAGCGCCTACTGTATGCGAGACCCTGTACCCAAAATGGTCACAAAAGCATTTTCCTCCTTTTGAACTCTAGGATGGTGTGACAGTAGGCTCTGGAGCGGGCTGGGATAGGGACTCCCAGGACAATGCTCCTCCAGTCAACGGAAGGTCGCTACACCAATTCTAGATTGATTCTGCGCGTTCACCTTGGGATAGAAACCAGAGGGGGAAGGTTTGTGGGATGTTTGATTCGGCAACAAAACTGGAAACCAATGTTTCCTGATAGATTAAAACAAAGAGTAGGGACAAAATCCTTTTACTTAAATAAAGCGTGACTTAGAAAACCCTTGCAGCAACAGCGCGAAGAGGCTGTTCAATTGCTTAGGGCGGCGCGCGTGTCCCCAGGGAGCTGTTTTAAAGGGGATGTTTCTATCTCGCTGTTGATTGGTTGATCTTTCTTGATCCCCACTCATCTTTGGAAGGCGCTAAGAGACGAAGGAGTGGTTCCTGGTTTGGGGAGTTCCTTGGCCAGTGATACTTTCCGAAGAGGACAGAATACAAGGGGCAAACAGAAGAGCCCATCAGGGCAACATTAGGAAATACTCTGACCCTTTTCCCAGGGCTGAGGCTCTCGGGACAGGCACAGGGGATAGGGTGTTGAACTTGGAGCCAGGAAGACCCAGGTTCAAATCACGTCTCAGCTTCAGGGTTGGACCTGATGACCTCTTGATGACCCTCCAGTCCTACATTTGTGAGTCTATTAAAACTTGCAAAAACTGGCATTTTGTGCCCAAATTTCCTTAAAAAACAAAAGTTCTAATATTAGCTCACATTTCTATAGGACTTTAAAGTTCACAAAGAATCTCCTATTTGTAAAATGCTTTGATCCTCACAACACCCTCGTCAAGTAAGCATTATTATTATCCCCGTTTTTCAGATGAGGAAACTGAAGCCCCAAAAGTGGAAGTGGCCTGCCCCATGTCTGAGGCAGAATTCACACACAAGTCTTCTAGACCCAAAGTCCAGCTTCCCCTCCCCATGTCACTGCCCAGTATCCTGGCAAGGAAGGTGTGCTGAAGAGTCCATTGGGTTCTTCCTAGTGAAACTAACCTTTGATTGTCAGGCTCTCATTATCACATGCATCAAAGGTCTGGGGTTTTCCAATGGGGGAAAAAAGGCTCAAGCCATTGACCCACCCATATGCTCAGTCTCCCTTTTGTCTCTGTCATCATATTAGAAACTGACAGAATTGGGAGTTGTTAGTGGCCTTTGTCAAAAATGAAATTCACAAACGTATCTGGGACCTGGAAAGGAAATAAAGGTAGAGTCAATAATAAACATGGAGGACAGAAAAGGCTTCCAAAAGTCACCGAGAGAGAATGTGTGTGTCTGTGTGTGTGCTCTGTTTTTTTGATTTTTAAAAAGGTTCTACTTGAAGCTGTCAGTCATCTTGAAAATCACTGATAAACCACCTCTCGCAGGTCTTTACAAAAGGGTATAGACAATGCTAATAACCGTAACAAGGTCGCAGGGGAATGGGCTCTGTCTGGACTTGCGAGTCTGGCTCCACAGTCCAAAATGTGATACAAAATCAAACGGAGGTTTCCCAAACTCAGTCATGCTGACTGGCACTCTTCTTTGCCCTGCCCTCAGCCCACATTCATTACCTTTTCACTGATCTTTGCCTTGCTGGGAAAATCCCACCCCTTCTGACTGCCAGCCTCTGCGGCTGATCAAGTTCCTCAGCTTCTCTCCGACTGCAGAGTACGGTGCTGGCTAGTAACATGTTGCACTGATTCTTAAACATTGCTCACTTAAGTACTCTGCCATTTAGCTGCCGGGCCGGGTCCTGGTATTCACTCCACGATGCATTTCCTTTCACCTCTGCCCCAAAATGAGCTATGGGAATTTGAAACGATTCCTACTGACCCACGCCGCCTCCCACCCCACCTGTGCCTGCCTGCCGGACTATGACAGAGGCGAACACAGAGCCACACAGATACAATGTCAGGTGGCCTTCTCCCCTCCCCGCCCACTGCCAGAGAGGAGCAGTAGCACTTGTGGAGGCAGGTACAGCAAAGAAAAAACCGTTCATGGGAGGCCCTGGGCTTCAGCACAAGGAATGGGCCAGCCCCTTGAGTGAGCACTGGACAGGGGAGTCAGGAGGCTGGGGGAGCATCGAAATCGAAAATACATGAAGGAGAGGGTTTCAGGGACTCCTCCAGCGGCCCAGGGGACACCTGGAGGAACAAATGAATGTGTGTGTGTGTGTGTGTGTGTGTGTCTAGGGCCTAGACATCTATCTCCAAAAGGACAAAGTCAAGAAAACATCCCAGCAGTTGACTGTACAAGGCAGTCCCTACACGCACACACACACACACACACACACACACACACACACACACACACGCGCGCATGTGTAGGTAAAAAGATGTATTTGAACATGAGAAGAGTTGCACCAAGAACGAACAACTAAATAAGCAATTGGTATGACAACCTTCCTTCCCAGACAAAGGGCTTGTCTAAAGCCCTGCGTCCAGGTGCCGCGTCCTTCACGTGCATGTCCTGAGAAGAGCAGCTCTCAGCTCAGCTCAAGAAAGAGGTCTTCTTCAGGCCAAGACTTGCCTTCCGGTCTTCTAACAAGGCGATCACGTTCTAGATAAAGGAACAGGGTGAGGAGTGAGAACCGGGGACTCCAAATGGCGAGAACCCCCGGGAGCTGCCGCAGCAGAAAACGCCATCCCTGACCTGTCTGTCAAACACGCGGGCCATCTCCAAGACACCTTTGCCAAACTGGAAGAGAAAGCAAGGGGACTTTGTTTTCCTCTCTCAGTAAAATCTTTGAGGAAAAAAAAAGAAAAGTGTTATGCTGTCTCTGTACCTCATTTGTAACACTTGGATCTGCTCCTTTTTCGAGAAGCAGTTGAACCAATTCTTCATGATTATTTAATACAGCCACCTGAAAAAGAATCGCGGGCAGGGGAGAGGATGCTGAGCTGCTGGGGCTTCCCAGCCAACACTGGACAGCTCTTGAGTCAAGCCCCTGGCCAATGCCTGCATGCACACCCTGCCTCTGCTCCCTCCACCACTACCACCCGGGCCCCCCACCACCATCACACACACACACACACACCTTCAGGTGTTCTGTTTCCCAAGTGGGAAAGATGCACATTATATGAAAATGAAATGAGAAACTCTGGGCCTGACCAGGAAACCTGCATTTCACAAACCAACAAATTCGTTTGGGGTCTTATAATGATTCGGGGAATGGGTTTTAGCAAAATCTTGTGTTTTTCATAACAGCCCTTCGGAGGAAGAAGGGCTACCATGGCCCCAGCCTGATGCCTAGCTGAGCTAGCAAGAACGGTGAAATTCTGGAGCGATCTTTGACCTTACGTGCAGAGACACCGTGAGGCCCTGGGCCGTAAAAAGGTACCATTAAGGGTGTCTTCCCATCCTTATCTTTCACATTCACATCTGCTCCAGCTTCAATTAAGAGGGAAGCCACCTCTCTGTTTCCTGATACTGCAGATACTCTCATCAGTGGTGTCCATCCCGAACCAGTGTCTAAAACATCTATCTGAAACACAGAGAGAAATTACACTTAGCCTTTTTTCAAAAGTGATCATCATTTAAATAAAAGCATAAGTGATATTGACTCTACCAGCTGCCTACTAATTCAGATAAAAGACTTTCTGGACTCATTAAGACAATGAAGATTTGAAACCGTGCCCAGAAAAATCATGAGAATATCCTAATCCAATGTATTCAAATTCATCCAGAGCAAGGCCCCAGACCTGGATCAAGACAACATGAGGATCAGCAGATCCCCAGGGAGGCTCCTTGCTGAGCTCTTCATCCGAATATCCTTTCAATGACAGGGTAGGCAACAGAAAAGCTAACTACCCCCATAGCCACTTCCTCAATGAGCTCCTTGATGAGCAAAGATCCTTGGAGCTCTCAGGCTAGTAAGACCTGCCAGGGCCCCCAACACCGGCTATCAAGCCCTCTGACCTGGCTCCTTCCCCAAACAAAATGCTATGCATTGCAGGCCTATCCAGGGATAAAATGAACATTTCCCTTACGATCTCTGCCCCACGGATTTAAATTTTCCACCAACTTAGCAAAGGGACAACATTTTTCATAAACAAGAAACCTAAATATTGCTTCTTCCCTTAAATATATGACTTTCTAGGAGAGTAGAATAAAGGAAGATGGGTGATAAGCTCTTTGAAATTAATGAGGCTGGCTCTTGGACAACCTACACCTGATGCATCCCTGGGCTACAGTTTGGCTGGAGATAAAGACAGACAGACCAACAAACAGAGGAGAGAGACAGAGACAGAGAGAGACAGAAACAGAGAGAGAGAGACAGAAACAGAAATGAAAGAGAGAGTTTTTCAGCCATAGCTATTGTGAACTCCCAGGGTTGTGATCTGAGTGAGCAGAGGCTCTACCCGCACTGATTATGCCCAGAGACCCTTGAAGCATGGACATAAGCAGTCTGCAAAAACCACTGAGCATCTTTATCTTTCAACTTCTGCAGCATGATGTCATAGATATTCTGGCTAAATGCAAAGCTGTATCTCAGGACACATCTTTTCAACATTTAACCACAACACGGTCTCAGAATGCATCCTCATCTCAAATCACTGCAACCTTGGAAATGAGGCGCAGGGCTCACAGACTCCATATTTGAAGCATCGACCCGCTGTGAAGCAAGTCCCTTCGAAGACCAATAATTCATTCAATAAGCTTATATGTATTGAACTCCTATTGCGGAGTACTGGGTCCCTGCACACATGGGGCTCACAAGCCACATGATTGCAAAATCATTCATTTTCACTCGAATTCACCAAGGAGCCAGTGGCCCCATGTCAAGTTGGAGGATCAGTTCACACTGGGCTCATTTTCCCCATTACCGACCCTAAAGAGGCCAGTCCCTTCTGTCGGTTACTTCTTTTTTTTTTTTTTGGTGAGGCAATGGGGTTAAGTGACTTGCCCAGGGTCACACAGCTAGTAAGTGTTATGTGTCTGAGGCCAGATTTGAACTCAGGTCCTCCTGAATCCAGAGCCAGTGCTCTATCCACTGCACCACCTAGCTGCCCCTCTGTCGGTTACTTCTGTTGGTCCATCCATCACTCTGCTCGTACTCAAAAGCTTACTGTCACGCCGGTGGGAAAGAAAGTATTTACCTACAAATAAAATATGCTGACTTTGAAGACCCAAAGATCATTTGATCTTTTTATTATACTTTAATTAGGATTCAATAATTTAACAGATAATGATAATCCCCATCATTCCAGAGGGCAAATATTACTAACAAATGCTCTGTATCCTCATCATCAGCCACTGAGTTAAACCACCCAGATTTCTCCCAGGCCCCACAACTTGGTCTAGTAACATGAGAAATTGAGATGAATCATTGTGAGAATTTGGTGTCAAAAGGGAAGGGCCCCAATTTGTTTCTTCAAGGAAACCTTTCTCTCCTTGCCCAAGCGAAAACCCAGACAAGCCCCAAATGCAAAACTGAGAAGCCAACATGGCCTCTCAGTGTAGGACCCGTGTGCCCTCCATCTCACCTCAAAGCCAAATGCAAAACAATCTACCAGCCTTTTTGGGAGACATGACTTTTCTTAATCTGAGTTTATTTTCTAGGCCATCCATTTAATTTCTCAGTACCTGACAACATCTGACAATCTCAGTCAGGGCAGAATCATGTCTATCAATCCTTATCTCCATGGCTTGAAATTTTTAATTTAACTTTCTTATGGTCCTGAAGTAAAGTCTTCAAAGTTATCAGAGATAACTAAGACTGATCAAATTCTCTCCACCCATCTCCTAATAACTGTGGGAGGCTTGGGTAAGCACTTCCACTTGAATGGATTCCTTCTGTAACATGGCCTCAAAAGTGGATTGGTGTGCAGGGGTTCCAGTAGGAGACCCTCAGAAGGACCACAATACTCGGGTATTGACAAAGCCTGGTCTTGTGCTCAAAAATGTGTCAATACAGTTGGGAGAATCTCCAAGGCAAATCTAGAGCAAAAGTTTTTTGTAATTTGTAATTTGTAAAAGCAATTCAACTAGCTACAAAAATAGCCCTCTCTTGTCCAATCCCCAGGGATTCTTTTTCCCCAAATGGATGACCTTCTGTGTGTCCCCTAGAAGTGCCGTGACTATCCCAAGCATCTGATGGCCTTCTCTTCTGGGCCCCACCAGCTCTTCTAAAAAGCAGAGGTACTGGTGGGTCCAAATGGCCTGAGGTGGCTCATTACATAAGGCCCTACCTCACCTTTGAGGAGACAACATTGTGTCCCTACCAACCTGAGGTATACTTTGCAAGTTTAGACAATGCCCCTCTCGCTAGTAGGTGGAACACTCTAATGAAAACCCATACCTTGCAACCATCCTTAATCATCCATTCGATGATGTCAGAGTGACCTCCATCAGCAGCCCAGTGCAAGGCTGTGCAGCCTCCCAGGTCTTGGGCCTCCCAAGAGGCTCCATGTGCTCTGAGGTATTTGACAACATCCAGGTGTCCAGCATAACAGGCAAGCATCAGACTGCAACAAGAAGGGTGAGCATTGAGGTGATGACCTGGCCACCGGGAGTCACACTGACCACAGAGCCGCCTCTGATCTGACTTAGCCTGACCCCAAGGATACTGGCCTGGAGGAGGAACCCCTGGGTGTTCCTGGAGGATGCAGGTACGCAAGCTGCATTGGGATGTGAGATAGAGAGGGCCAAGATGGCAGCCCCAGTGGAATGGGGGCCCAAGAAAACAGGATCAAATTCTTCAGATAAGTCTCAGGAGTCTGTAGGCCTCTGTAGGCTGCCAGAAAGTAACTTCTCCTTCATTCTGCACGATTTGCTCTCACCCCACCAGAAAACCTGACCTCCGAGCATGGGAAGAAGTTGAGCACAAGCGTTAGGGCTTTTTGAAGGACCTAAGGACGGACAGCAACTTGGCTTATAACATGCAAGGAGCAATTATGAAGTCCCTATCTTTTGGTTGCTTAGAGGAAGTGTTGCACAGTGGACAGAGCTGGTATCAAAACCAGAAAGACGTGGGTTCAAGACACATACTAGACTTACTGGGTGAGTCACTTATCCCTAAGTACTCTAGGCCAGGGATGTGGCTTGGGAGCCAAATATACAGCCAAGTAGCTAAGAATGATTTTTACATAAGAACCATTCCGTGCCAGGGTGCAGAAAGGACAGCACCTTGCACAGGCAGAGGGAGTTTCCTCACCAGTGAAATCACAGGCCCAATATCAGTTTGCTTATTTTCTCGAGTTCAGAAGAGATATTCATTCAAGTCAGTGATGTTCCAAATAAGCAAATTCAAATTTTAGAGGGGGAAAAAAGGCATCACCTACAAGGATGTGCGCACACAGAAGGCGGGATGGAATTTTAGCTCTGATAGTCCTATATATTTCTACTCTTCGCAGGGTCCCCCTCAAGGACTGTCTTTGCGCCGCAGGCTCTCTGCTAAGCTCTCAATACGTCACAACCCTTTTCCAAAGGTTCTAGATGAAGGGGAGGATTCTAGTGAGGGATGTGGATTCTGACAAGGCTCTCACTCCTGGAGCACACTCAAGACACCCAGGGGAAGACCCACGTAGGCATGCAGAAACCATCCATCCTGGACACTGTTTCTTCTTCCTCTCCAGCTTCCCAAGTTCAAACAGAGGAGCCCAATGAGGAAGAAAAAAAAGAGGAGATAGACAACGCAGAAAGGGAGAAGAGTAAGGTTTGGAGTCACCGAGAGAGTTCATCTCTGATATCTTATTCAAGTTAAATTCTTGCCATTCTGCTTTAATGCCTCAAAGCCCAGAGAGATTAAATTCTATCCATGGATCCTAGAACCACAGCTCGTGAGCTGCGAGGGATCACAGTGCCCACTGAGGCCCACCCCCTCCTCCTACAGATTAGAAAACTGAGGCACAGCCACAGTCAGACATATTGGTGCTCTTTGCCACCTATCCTCAGTATCAGCAATTAAAGAGGAAAGTTGGTCTGCACGGAATGCTGTCTGGAAAAAGGTCAAGTCCTCAGGAGGGCAAGGGGACTGATTTTAAATGGGCAAATGCTGGGTCTTGTAAACAAAGCTGCAGACGAAAAGTGTGGAGCGAGACCTTCCCGTAGAAGCTGTCCCCACCAGAGTTCCTGCTTCTGATGTGAGATGCTGGCATGAGGAGGAGTCCTGGCTCCTAAGGTCATCTGAGTTTCAGTCACAGCACACAGACGGCGGATGCACGTTCCTTTCCCTTCCGACAGGAAAAAGACAATTGCTCAGGCACAGCTGCCTCTGAAGGGCCAAAGGTCTGCAGAGAAGAAATCCCACTGCTCCTTCCCCAGGAATTTGGAAACAGGAATGGAAGGGCCTCTTTTCCTCCACGTTCTCTTCCTTACATGCTCTCTCCTAATCCGAAACCAGAGCATCTTTGTGGGGCTTTTCAGGGTGTACAAAGCACCCGCTCCACAACGGGCCTGCAAGGTCAGCGGCCTTCCCTCAGTAAGACTTCTGAGAGAGCGGGAGTCAGCAGCTGCTTAACAAGAGGATACATTTATGCCATAAATATTGACTGATAAGACTAGGATGAAAGTCCTGAGGATGCTGGGCAGATGTTGGAGGAGCCTCCAAACAAAGCTGCCCGGTCCTTCAAGGGGAGGAGAGATCGATGCAGGCCATGGGGGCGCAGGTGGGGGAGGATTAGGGAAGAGGCTGACAAGGTGCAGGAGAGTGTGGAGATCAGGCGAGACATGCAGGCAGGGCCAGAGCCCAAAGCGCCCAGCACGAGGGCGGCCCAGGAGTTGGCCTGAATGTGGTGGCATGGGGACGGACTCCAGGCTTGTTTCAGCTTAAGAAGCGAAATGGCTTGAGGGGAGCAACGTTCTGGGGCTCTGGGTCAGACGGTGGCAGAGGCTGATCTGAGAAGGGACAGAGCTCAGGGGCGGGTCAGACTGGAGGTTCCTGCCAGGGAAAGGGCCACAAAAGCCTCTGGCTCAGGTGCTGGGGCTTAGCAAGGGAGGGGTCACTCTGGCCACGCCCCTCCCCAATGTGAGTCACTTGGGCCACACTCCTCCCCCTGGGTCCCTCAGGCCACGCCCCTCCCCGCTGTGGGTCACTCGGGACCTGCCCCTCCCCAACATGGATCACTTGGGCCATGCCCTTCCCCGCCGTGGCTGCCATCCAAGGAGCCCCGTCTATGCCCAGGAGGAGCCTCCTGCCACCCACCTGTCCTTCCCACTTCCATTCTTCAGGTTCACATCTGTCCCATTACCGATCAGGATCTTCACTAGTCTGAAGGAAGCAGAACATTTTGGTCATCTTTGGTCTTCCCCATGACTACTTTTTAAAGAAATACGAAAGAAGGATGGGCTATCTCTGGGCTCACAGTGAGAAGAAGCCCTTCTCTGGGAAAAAGAATGATTTGTAAAGTTCCAGTTGCCTCAAAGCCTGGGGCATAAGGAAGCAAGGAAAGGCCAGAGGGCTCCCTCTTCAGTGGCCTCTTCCCACGTGCTCCCCTCATCACTGGCATCCCTCTCTGCCCTTCGTGCTGCCATGCCAAGCCCAACCCCCCAGGGCAGAAGAAGCTCAGAGCCCCCAGCCCACCGGAGGAAGACCCCGAGAACAAACTTACTGTATGTAACCTTTCTGGGCAGCCACCATCAGGGCAGTAAAGCCAAGCTTATTTGGAACATCAACCTTAACATGGCTTCCAAAGAGAAAGGCAAGAAACACATGAATGATCACATCACAGGCTCCTCAGCACACAAGCCCGCTACCCCTGGCCTGGCTAGCAAACGTGACTTAGGACTGCAATCCCTTCTCACAGTTGGACTTTTGTCATCTCAGCCTGCCTGGCCCAGGATTTATAAAGAAGCAAATTGTTTCTGACCTGAAATGGAAGCCCTTAATGGAGGAATTCTGTTTCCTGATATCAGGTTTATGCGGAAGGTAAGTCAATATAATTTCACACTTAAACCCAGTCTCACCTTGGCTTCAAATTCTTTGGGGACTCGGGCTAACCCGAGAAGAGAGTCTACCCTCCTTAATTCAGCAGAACATAGAGTCACACAGGGCCTTTGGGGAGGACCCTTCCTGCCCCAAAGCCAGGAGCTCTTCCACAGGCAGGGTCTCTCCTCCCCAGCCCACTACCCTTAAATACTAGACCATTCAATGGCATAAACTGATGAGAAGCTGCTCCCCAGCTGTTGAGATTTAGGGAAATGCTTTTCTTCTGTGGCTGAGAGAGGCCTCCTCTCACAAATGAGTCATCGTCCAAGGCTCTCAGCTCTATGGATTCCAAAAGACTTTAGATCCTATATTCCATTTAGAAGTCTCAATAGAGCTTTGTAGGAGTACATCCACAGAAATCACTCTCACCTCTCTGGGTGACTCTTTGGGGCCATTTCAAAGTGTGTTTATTTCAAAGGAATTTCCTATTTGCATAGTGATTTATAGTTATATTATGGCCTAATCTGAACCTCCACCTTTCACCCAAGCTCAGTTTAGGAGTCTCTTGACAAAGGCTTTAGGGCCTCTAGAGAAATCACAAAAACTGACCTCAGGCAGTTTCTCTTATTTCCTGGCATCAGGAAGAACATTTAATGGGACTTGGGGGAAAAAACCCCTAAGATGGTTCTCTCACCCTCCTTGAAGTATCTGGACAAGCAGGTCTTCATCATTCACATTTACAGCTCGATGGAAATGCTCACTACTTATGGGCTCCCCTGAAGGAATGAGACAGCAAACAGTCAACCCCAAGTACAGGACAGTCCCCTCAGTCACAGTCCTTCAGTGGCTCTGAGCCAGCCAGGTCGCTGTCCCCCTAATGCCTGAATTGGGGATCCAGTGAACATCACTGCATTAAACCAGAGATGTTCTCAACTGGGAAAAGGGCCAGCAATCAGAGGCCTCACTTTGGCAACATCCTTCAGGAGAAAGAGATTTGGTTTGAGCTAAATGATTTGGGAAATACTATGTGGTGGGTGGGATGAAGAGGTTCCTATTTCACAGCTCAAAATTTGAAAAGTGTCTCTTATGGGCAGCAAAGTATTTGGTGACAGTCACAATATGTGTGACTTTATTTGCCAAGGAGCCAGGAGAAGACTTTAAAAACAACCAAGGACATAGGGTGCCCCTCTGAAGTGGGAGGTGATCATTCTTTGGGGCATTTGGACTTTCTTCTTCCCTGTGCCCTTTCTGAACTGTGCGGTAAAACAGCCAGCCTTTGGGAGAACAAACCCAGTTATTCTGAAAGGTAGAACAGAATAAGGAAAACTGAAGGAAAAAAGGATATGCCAAATGGAGAGAAGAAGGTGTCCAAGTCCAAGAGATGCTAAGAGGGCAGAAACTGCACAGGGAAGAGAGTCACATAACATTAAGTAATATACATTCAGTAAAAAGAGGGAGAAGGGGCTGGAGAGGGGCAGAGGGTGGCTGGCTCCTGGCTATCTCTGGGGCATATTTCTCTTCTCCCTTAACTCGACATTCTATCTCATTTGCCTTCTCCTCCCTTTCCTGTGGAAATGACTAGATGCTTCGGTTAGTTAGAAAACGGATCAGGCTGCTGCTTCAGACTGCAGACCAGTTCCAAGCTGCCATCATACTCCACAATACACCTCTGGCCACCTACCTGCCAGTGTGGGTGACCCGGCACGAGAGGGAGAACGTAGCCCAAAGCATGTGTTCTGCCTGTCAGAGTGTGAGTCACTAGTTCTGTCCTAGACACCAGAGGACAGCCCGTTAAACAATAAGAAGATGCCATGGGCCCAAAGGAAATGCGGCCGAGGAAAACCAGGAACATGCTTATCAAAGTGGCCCAACACACTCATGGATCCCAGCGTTTTCATAGCAACACAGCAGGTCTCTTCCAAAACCTTCACTGACTCTAATGACCCCCAGCCTCACTCCAGTGGCATCATACACACATGCACATTCACACATGTGCATACACATGCATGTATTCACACACACTCATGCACTCACATACATGTATGCACACACATGCACACAAGCACACACAACTGAAGCCCACAAGCTGATCCTACCTGCACGGACGCGGGTGGCATTCAGCTTTCAGCAAGTTCTCCAGGAGGCCGCTTTGGAGCTTAGCATGCTCCAAATTTCACATTGGACGGTTTGAACTGTCCTCCAGACACGGAGCAAACACCAGGGGGCTGGAAGTCTGGAGCTGATAATTAGCTACATACCCTTGGACATACCAAGCAACCTCCTTGAGCCTCATTTTCCACATCTGTAAAGTGCAACTAAAACATCTACGCTTCTAAACTCCCAAAGGGAGAAGCATCATGGCAGGGGTGCCTTCCTCCCCAAGCCGACCGCCTGCATTCACTAAATCATCTGCTTCACTAGAAGGCAAACAGTCCCGTGTTGTTTTGGGCCTGTCTCCAGCTGTTGTTTGCTCTCAGCGGCTTCTCAGAGCAGCCTCATTGGTACAAAGACAGACGTACAGATCAGAAAGTGCATGGAGAAGCTGGCCCAAGCAAGCATCGTCCCAGAATGCAATTTCTTTTTCTGGCAAAACGGTGAAATCGTTTCAAAAGAACTCCAGTACACCTGCATCACCCTCCAAAACACACCAGACTCCCATTTTATCCCCCAAATGCTCTGCTTTGACTCTGTTGTTCTAAAAATAACACTCCAAAGGCCAAACGGCCAAGTCCCGGGTGGCCCACAACTGCTCAGGGATCCTAAAGTGATCTCTCCCAATCTCACCACACTTGACGTGCCCACCCTAAAGCACTCCGACCGACCTTTGCAGAAGAGAAGGGAGTCATATGAGAGGAGAAGCCAGGGCAATGAGCATCGCTACAAAGGAATCATCAGCCCCCTACCACCTGAGATGCCCCAGGGCCCTGTGTGTATGGAGTCAAATCTGATAACCTTGCATAGCACTGTGCTCCAGTTCAAACCGTTCAATGTGAAATCCAAAGAAAGGCCAGTCAGCTGCTGAAATGCACTTTCAACTCATGTTAAGCAACATTTCAAATAGATTTCAAATTGACGTTTGAAATCTATTAGAAATCCTGCCTTTTGTTTAGTTATTAGAGCGCTGTAGCGTGGCAGATAATAGATCTTGGTCTTCTCTCAGGTATTTAAACTAGGCCTCAGCTTTAAAGCTGGCCAAAGCTAGCAGCTGCCCATTAGCCATAGTCAAAGGAATTTATCCTCTGAATTTATTTAAAAATTTTCCATCTGTAGATTTGAATGTTTAGCATCCCGAGAGACCAACTAGCAATGATAGACAAATGCGATTTTCAAGTTTTAGAATTACTTGAAAGCACGATGTGCAGATGGATCCTGGAAAATCCCATCTTAGCTGGGATGGTCTCCAGCTCACGATCTCAGCTGTCCTTCCTGTGAAGTACAAGCCCTTGCTCACATGCCCCGCTCTCGGACCACGCTCCCTGCCTGTCACCAGCCCGAGGCACCAGCATCCATCTTGCCTGGGGACCGGGATTTTCTCAGCATGTGTACTTCCTAGTACATCCCGAACCAGAAAGCAGCGCTGCATACAGACAGTGGGACATTAAGCAAGCTGACTTCGCGTGACTAAACCACCACAAAGACCAGAGCTTTTTACCGATAGGCTTTGAATTGATATTTTGCTTACTGGTCTCCTCCTGCAGCAGGAAATGAGAGGTCTCCCAAGGTCTCTAAGACAACAGAGTGGGTGCCCTCAGGGAGCAGGGGTCTGTCAGTTCCTCCATGGCATCCAAATCTCAATCGATACTTACAACATGCATCCCTCAGGGACCTGAAAGCCCTTTCCCAGCCTTAATACCTGAATCCCCACCCTGCTGGTGGTCGGGAAGAAATTCTGGCCTAGGAGACACAGAATGGTGCCAGGGTTGGCCTGGGATTGGCAATCCAAGAAATAGAAGCCAGGACTCCAGACTTTCCAACCATGACTCCATAGCCACTGCGTCTCATTATCTCCTGCTGGGAAGATGTGGCCAAAAACAGAGGGCAGAGGAGAATTGCCCAGGTGGACAGGATGCCCCGATTCTGTTCACCAACTCATGATTTAGGGGGAAGAGAATGTAAGAAAACCTCCCCACAGATGGTCCATAGAGCTGCCACCAGGGCCAAGCTAGCCCTCCATTTTTTTTTCTCGTTCGTCCGTGGTTTCCAGGACCATACAATGAGCTGTCCCTTGCCATGAGGAGTACCCACAGGCACTGGAGTGCATCTGACCCGGGTTGAACCCAAAGACAGAGGACAGCCACCAAAGTGCAGAGAATGATCAGAGTGGGCCTTGGAAATCAATCCTTCCTGGGCTGCACAAGAGCCACTCAGTTGCAGGTGTCCAGGCAGAGCCTCAAAATCAGTGATGACACCTTTATTTGGGGGCTCTAAGGTTCTCTTAAAAGCAGTGACTAAGTGACCAGCACACTGGAGAAGACATTTGCCATGAGTCAATGGCAGCTTTTTTTCTTTCTTTCTAAGGGGAAGGGGATTGATTAAAATTGCATGCTTCATTTAAGCAAGAGTCTCCTGTCCTTTACCCACAAAAAGAGACAGGATCCCCTTTACTCAAACAAAGAATATGCTCTCTGATCCATTGAAACACCTTCCAAATGAAGACAAATTATTGTCCCACAGAGGTATTTTCTGTTCTGGAGTGTGTACCCAGCGTGGCACTTTTAAAACCCTCCATCTACGGAAAGAAGCTTTCTTGCTGGTGGCCCTGCTGGTTTCAGGGTGATGAGCACAGTAACAATCAATGATAAAGGCCCTGAGCACAGAGAAGAGCCTGACCCTGCAAGGGATGCTCCCCACAGCCCAGCCATTCGCCATCCAACTGTCCATCTGTGCCAGGCTGGGCGTCCTGCTAAACCCGGCAGCATCCAGAGACAAGAAGCACCGCTTGAGGAGGGCACAAAGAACACAGTCAGCTCTCCTCCTCACTCTGTCCTGATCCCCAGGCCCACCTAGTCATCCACAGCAGAATCAGATTGGCCTGGGAAACTCACTGGGGATGATGAGGCAGGGTTCCTAAGGAAGCAGGAGGCCACTGCCAAAGGTCAGAGCCATAAAAGCAAATCTGCCCAAAGAGAGAGAAGGATAAGGGTGTCTGACTGTCCTGAAGAATTACCACAGCACGGTCAGCCATTCATCTACTTCATGCCATCCCTGACTGTCCCCACCAGAGTAGTACCCACAGAGCCATGCTCCCTACATCTGGACAACACCAGGCCAGCCTTATGGGCTAGCATCCATTTCAGTCACGTCTTATAGGTTCAGTATACTGATTTCTGAGCAAAGGGCTAGGGACCCCAAAAACAAACTTCTGTAGCTTAAAGAAGGGGTTTCTCTAGGACTTCTGCAAGGACATTTACTTTCTAAAAGAAGGAATATCTGTTTGCCATCTATTCTGACTCCTACCCTGCCTCAGACACTCAACTCCTACAAACAATTCAACAAATGTACAGGCCTGTTTTCCCTCCAATATATTACTAACGTACCATTAGGAATTTTTAAAAGCTTTAAACACATCTAGACAAAGAAATATATGCCCAACTTCTCAAAATAGTTATTTTTTCTTGGATGAAGAAGAAATCCTCAACTGATGCCTTCTGTTGGACATTATCTTTCCCTCCTTTGTCCTTGAATCCTATTTTTTGCATTTACAATGCAAATTTGTTTTGTATTGTAGCCATGCATGCATGTCTTCTATTGGATAATGTCTTAGCTTCATAGGTTC